GTCTGCCTTCGTTTGGGGGAAGACTTTGAGAAGTTTTTGCAGCTCACTAAATAAACTATTAGTTTAATGAAAGAATCAGTTTTTCCATTGTCTTTCACACAATAGCCATTTGCGGGAAGCTGACCTACTCTGGCCTAACAGTAACTCTGACTATTGATACCATGACACCTTTACAAAGTCCTCTAACTAACTATCCCAATAGCCTCTGTGTTAGTATTACCAAAGCAGACCTAATGTCAGTCACACAGGATTTCACGTATTTGTGATACCAGTGTCTAAATTCTTATGATAACTGAGCTTCAGGATTTTCCAGGTAGGTCAATTTTATTTTATTGCTCTCCCATAATTGGAAATTTTAAAAATAGCTTCAAAAGTGGCTCAAGTAATCCTGCCTCCCAGTGATTCCTGCCCTTCTGCAATCCTCTCTGCTTGAGAACGTGTGAGACCTACTGACTTTCTTCTAAGAAACAGAATACAGCAAAGGGAAGGGGATGTCCCTTCTGACATCAGGTTACGAAAGACTGTGACTTCCATCTTGATTGCATTCTGTTGGGTTGTTCTCACTTACTTGCACCAATGAAGTAAGCTACCAGGTGGTAAACTGCCCCGTGCAGAGCCTGATGTTGCAGGAGCTGAGCGTGGACTCCAGTCAGCAACCAACAAGGAACTGGTGCCCTTAGTTCACTTGAATTCGAGGAACTAAGTCTTGTCAACAGCCGTGTGAGGGAACCTAGAAGTGGAGCCTTCCCCGGTGGAGCCTTGAGATGACTACAGCCCCAGATGACACCTTGACTCAGCAGAGACCTTGAGCCCAAGGATGCAACAAAACTGAAACCAACTCCTGTTACCGTCACACAGTAAAAGTTATCTTAAATGGCTAAGTTGTGGAACACTTGTTATGTAACAATAAATAACTCACCTGTTATGCAATAATAAATATCAAGTCACAGGAGCCAAATAATAATAATAGCGCACGTGTAGCAAGAGTTTATTCTGTGTTGAGCACTCCAATGAGCCCTTCATCTGTCCTGCAGGTGAAAGAAAACAGATCAAGCTAACTTAAGCAAAGGGTAATAATATTCTCAAAATAAGATTTTTTTTTTAAGGAAGTTATTGGATCATGTAAATGAAGGGTCTAGGATTAGATCTTCAGGGACAGTGAACTGCTCAAATGATGTTAGGAATCTTTCTCTCTGCCTGCCTCTCTGTTCTGGTTCTCAGTGAGCTGATTTCATCCTTAAGCAGGTTCTGTGCAAATATTGGCAAAGTAGTGGCAACAGACTTATTTCTACTAGTTAGTCACCCCAGGGGAAAACAAGCAGTACTGCTTTTCTGATAGTTTTAGCAAAAGTTCTAGGGCTGAGCCTAATTGAACAATTCACACGCTTGACCTTGAGCAGTTATTGTGTGTGGGCAGGATGGAATTCACTAACTTGCCAGGTTGTGGCAGACCTGCAGCTGGATGCACAGTGAACCCTATGCAAATCACAGGGATTGAGGATGGGATAGATGTATTTTCCCAAAGAAAACTAGAGTTGTGCTCTTAGAACTAAATAGTGGACAAGAAAAAAAAAAAAAGAAGTCCACTCCATGCCACCTCTTCTCAGCCCCCTGTTCACACATACACACACACATACACGCACAAGCACAATCCCCTTTTTTCCATATATATACTTGTAGAAACGTTCCCACTGAACATATTTTATAATTTTATTTTTTTATAAACATATATATATATATATTTCCCCCCCCCCAGGGGTACAGGTCTGTGAATCTCCACTGAACATATTTTAAATGACATTTAAAATGTATTCACTCGGGGCACCTGGGTGGTTCAATTGTTAAACGTCTGCCTTTGGCTCAGGTCAGAATCCCAGGGTCCTAGGTTGGAGACCAGCACTGGGCTCCCTTCTCAGTGGAGAGCCTTCTCCTCTGCCTGCTGCTCCCCCTGTTTGTGCGCTCGCTCTCACTCTCTCTATCTCTCTCTCTTCCTTTGTCTAGTGCTCTCTCTCTCTCTCAAATAAACAAAATCTTTTTTAAAAATGTAATCACTGATTCTAAAGGAAAACAAACCAGAATCTTTTCTAGTCACTGTATCCAGCTGAGAGTCAAGGGTCAGTTGGTGATTTGCACTCCTTTCAGTCTGGTCCATGCATGCGTCCTCAAAGCTATAAACCCATGGTTAAGTGATACTTCTACCACAAACACTTCCAACACACAGTGATGAAGGAAAAACGAGGTAACTGTTTGGATCCATGACATAGACCAAAGACTGCCTATCCTACCAGTAGAGCAAGTGTGGGCCACAATGTGAGCTATGACAAGTTGGGCAATCTTGGAGAGCTCCCTTGTCTTGATCTTCCATGACTGTCTGAGATGGGCCCCTGTAAGGAATTCCCTCCCTGGACCTGCATATCATCAGCCTCATTTGCACGAAGGAAGAGTGTTGGTTGGGCTCCTCCAGGCTTAGGATCTGTCTGTTCATCTCCATTAACACTTACTTAATTGGCTGTCAATCCACCAGCTTTCTGCCACTCTCATGAGTAGCAACGAAGTCAAGGTCATCTAGATTAATAGTCCGTTAACCTCCCTCCTTCGATCCCACTCTGAACTGTTTTTGCTTCCTAGCCACAAGTCCCTCAGTCCTGCCTGTTGCACTGACCCTTTAGGAGATGTCCTTTTACTTGAGATAATGCAAAATAAATACATATTTGCCAGTAAGTGCTTTACTCAACTTTGACAGATAGTAAAATTCTTTTTCCAAGTTGATTCCTCTCACTGTAATCTCCAGAAACTTGGTTTACACAGAATGCCAGGGAAGGCTGATCAATGCTACTGTGCCACTATACACACACACCCCTCAAATACGAAAAAATAATTTTTACTAGGATCTCTCAAGAACTGAGTTTGCATTGCTTTATTAGCAGATCTAGATAAAGTTATCAAATTAAATTTAGGAAGATGAAGAATTTTCATAGAAATGATTGTTAACTAGAAAGACGTTTCCAAACACAAGAATTTTTGCAAACATGGAGAAAGTGCTAGAGAGAACTTAGCAATTTTTGAATGAAAGATTTCCTCCATGGTTTGATACCACAATAGATGTTGCAAAAATGAAAGCTGGAGCAAGAGAAAAATGCTGGTGGACCTAAGTGACATCATTAAAGAAAAAGAGAAACACGAATCATTTAGTTTGCAGAGTGGCTTTATTGATCATTTGTATATCTTCTTTGGAGAAATGTCTATTTAAACACATCACTAATTTTTAGTTAAATTTTGTTTTATTTTGTTAGTTGTAAGAACTCTTTACATATTCTGGATATAATTATTGTACTATGTATATTGATTTACAATATTTTCTTCTGTTTTGGGGTTATCTTTTCACTTTCTTTTTTTTTTAAAGATTTTATTTATTTGACAGACAGAGATTACAAGTAGGCAGAGAGACAGGCAGAGAGAGAGGAGGAAGCAGGCTCCCTGCTGAGCAAAGAGCCCGATGCGGGGCTCGATCCCAGGACCCTGGAATCATGACCTGAGCTGAAGGCAGAGGCTTTAACCCACTGAGCCACCCAGGCAGCCTATCTTTTCACTTTCTTGATCAGGTTTTTTGAAAATCAAAGTTTTTCATTTTGCTGAAGTCCAGTTTACCTGTGTTTTTCTTTTGTCCCTCATGCTTTCGGTGTTGTATGTAAGAAAGCCTTGCTTAAATCAGGGTCACAAAGATTTACCCCTACATTTTCTTCTAACAGTTTTGTAGTTTCATCTCTCACATATTAGGTTAAATTCATTTTGAGTTAGTTTTTTATGTGGTGTGAGGTAGAAATTCAACTTAATTTTTCCACCTCTAGTTATCCCGTTTTCCAGCACCATTTGTTGAAAAGACATTTCTTTCCTCTGTTGAATTATGTTGGCAACTTCTCAAAAATCAATTGATCATAAATGTATGGATTTATTCACAGACTCTCGGTTCTATTCTGTTATCTATATGTCTACCCTTATGCCAGTACCACAATATTAATTACTGTGAATTTATAATAAGTTTTATTAAGTTGTATTAAGTTATAATAAATATTAAAAGTTTTAAAAAGTTTTAAAATTGAGAAACATGAATCTTTCAACTTTGTTTTTCCTTTTATGAGATTGTTTTGGATATTCTGGGTTCCTTCCAATCTCATAGGTGAATTTTAAAATCAACCTATCAATTTCTGCAAAAAAAAAAAAAAGAAGCTGAAAGAAAATAAAAAAAGGAAGCTGAGATGTTGATAGGGATTGTGTCTGTTTTGTATACCAATCCTGGAGGCTTGGGGTCATTTTACAAAAGGAAATGTTTCCAGTTCATAACCCTCAGTAATACACACCTACGTCTTTACCTCTGTGACCCAGCAAGGCCTACTTGAGAATTAGGTATCCCTTGAGAGAAAGGTATTATGTTCTACTCTTTTGCATTCTGTTTAATAATCTTTATTTATAAGGCACTTTACAAATGTGAAGTACCATGTTAGAAGACAACTCTTGGCTTAATCACTAGATGATTAATTACTTCATTAGAAAAATCAGTTTAATCCTACATGATATCAATTAAGGTGTAATAATCCTGGTCTTAAGTTTGGGTATGAGATTAGTACACATTTCTAGCCACAAAGCTGACTGCTGCTGAAATGACCTTTCAAAAAACCTACATAGATTAAGTGGACCACCTGCCTCTGTATTGCATAGCCTAGGTACTAGTCCCTGTCACAACATGACTAATTCAGAATTTTACACAACGATCTATTCCCTTTGTCATTATATCCTAAACAATATATCTCTTATATCATTTCTTTCAATTTTGATTTAGGATTAAGTTTGAATTAAGAGCTCATTGCTGCCTGTAGGGGGCAGTCATAACATACCTAGACATTCAAAAATAGGAGGCTCTACCTGGAATAGAACACTAGCAGATAAACTGCTGATCCACAAAACAGATAATCCTTTTGCTTCAGATAGTGTAACTTTCCAGGGAGGTCCCCAAAGGACTGACAGATGGCCCAGCATCAGCCGAACGAAGAGAAATAGAGTGGACCCTGGGCTAGTGTTGTTAAAATCAGGTTGCAGGATTCATTTGGAACTTTATTGTAAAAATATGCCCAGTCCTTCCCAAGACAACCAAGAGTGCCTCCAGAAACATTTCTCCAGGCCATCTGCGTGGAAGCAATTCCTGCCCCTGCCTAGGGCTGAGGGATATAAAGCAAACATTCACCAAACCGTGGAAAATGAAGGCAGCACTAAGGTCAAGGTAAGACGATTTCCACAATCCATGACCCTTACTTAACAAAGAAAAGGTTTATCCAAAAAGAATATAAAACCATAAGCAAGCTTTCATAGTATTGTTCCTCTGTCTTACTGAGGATTTATCAAAATGTTTTCAAGCCAACCCCAAGAGAAAAACTAGAACCTTGATAATAATTATCAGATATGTCCAGTTTTCTCCAAACTAAACAGCTTCCCTTGTCCAGACAAATGCTTATTTATTGTTTGTTTGTTTGCTTGCTTGCTTGCTTCAGGAGGTAATGTTTTAAAAAAGCAGGAGACATAGTCATGGATTTTTCTGACTATTGATGTTCTGCAGTTATTGTGGCTCAGATGTTTTTCTCTGAAATAAAATTTATATCCCTTATAGTAATGAAAGACAAATTATAGACTGCTTTCTACAAAAATTGCTCAAGGAAAAAAAATGATAAAATAATACAAAAACATAAGAACATTAAGAAGCTAAGGGATGCTTTTCCTAAATTCATAGTTTTCTGTGGTGAATTTTCTAAGCATGAATTTCTACCAATAGATAACATTATTTCCCTGAAGAGTGACAATGTCCCTGCTCAGTGTAGTATCTTTGCACTTTAAGTCTGTAAATCCTCTTAACTATGAATAGAATCATCTCTAAAATGATATTCAGAGTGGAGGGGGATGGGCATGTGTTAATGCCTACCAATAATCAGAGCTCAGAATTACACACTGCAATCATACTACAGCAAACCTATTTAAATACTTTAAGACCAAAAAAAAAAAAATTGATCTGTCCTTGTGCCATGGCTCATATCCTGATAATAATCATGATTTATTGTCAGACATCTTATTTTAACAAATTGGCACAGGAAGAAGAAAAATGTAGAAAGGTACTGACCTTCAGTTTTGAGCTTTCAGACAGATGTGAACAAATAATATGCGATAATCCACAGCTCCTATTATCACCTGAGCACTAGGTCTTTAGGAAACTAAAATGAAATAGATACACTGGCTGGAAGTCCTTAATTAACAGGCATCTACACCTAAATGTATGGAACCCATGCAAAAGAGATTTCTGAAAGGTAGAATTTAGAGCTACTCTGAGGAAACAGACAGCAACAATAACTTAGGTATGTTTTATGTGTGTGTATATGTATATATATATATATATATATATATATATATATATATAATGTGTACACACATATAATATCAAAGTTCTAACTGTATTGAGGGGTATGCTTTAGACAGAATCATGGGCAAATACACTGGGAAAGTTTTTATGAATCAGCGGTATATCTTCCCATACCATCCTGGAATCAAATGCACTACCAGCACCAGGCAATCCAACCTGTGATCCTGACCTCACTCACCTAAATAAACAGGTTCCAGCCTGTACAACAGCAGGTTCGAGCAGTCAGGAGTGATCCATTTGGGTTGCTACTGGCCTCGCCACTCAATTTTGCCTCCTCAAAAAAGTCTTTTTATGTCACATCTGATATAGACACACATATAGGTGAACATGTTCCTCTTCTAACATATAAGGATGGTAGAACTCAATTCATTTTTATTCTACAAAGAGCACAGCGTCCTTACTATTTGCAAAACCTGGGCTAGGTTTCAAGAAAGAGAAAGATATGCTCCTTCTTCTTTGAGGACTTACAATATATTGGGAAAGACAAACATATCAACATATTATCAAATTATCATATTGTTGGCATGACTCATGTCAATAGTAGATTATATCTATGTGATTACATTGTTTTGATCAGGAAAGCAATAAGAAATAGAGATGATATATGACCGATATGGAGTAAAACAACTGAAAATGGCCTAATGAAAGAGTGAGAGAGATGAAATTTAAGAGAGAAGTGAAATAATGTTAGAAATATAGAAAAGTAGACAGGGAGAGCATGAGCTAGAATGTGTCTAGATGTCCAGAAGTCAGTGATAAAAACCTTCAAAAATCCTCCACCTAAACCTCACACATTATATAGATATTAGCTCAAAATGCATCATGGACTTATAAAATGTACAACTGTAAGTAAAATTATAAAACTTTTAGGAAAAAAATTTTAAATCTTTGTGAACTAAAGCTAAGCAGAGTTCTTAGACACCAAAGTATAGTCTATATAGAAAAGATTAGTAAATTGAACCTCAAAATATCAAAAATAAACTTTTGGTTTGCCAAAAACCCTGTTAAGAGGATTAAAAAGACAAACTACAGACTTAGAAAATAGTTGCAAACACTTATCTGACAAAGGCCTTATATTTAGAATATATCAAGAATCACAAAACTCAAGAATAAAATAACAAAAAATCCAACTAGAATATGGGCAAAGAAAATGAACAAGCGTTCCATCAAAGAGCATATACAGATGGTAAATAAATACATGAAAAGATAGTCAGCATCAAAGCCATTAGGAAAACACAAACTAAAAACCCAGTAAAGTATCACTACACACCTATCAGAATAGCTAAAATGAAAACCAGTGAGTGGTGCTTTGGTGGCTCAGTTGGTTAAGCATCTGATTCTTGATCCCAGCTCAGGTCTTGATCTCAAGGTCATGAGTTCGAACACTGCATTGGGCTCCACTTAAAAAAAAAAATTGACAAAAACCTAGTGCTGGCAAGGATATAGAGAAACTGGATCACCCATACATTCCTAGTAAGGACGCACAATGGTACAACCTGTCAGGGAAACAATTTGGCAGTGTCTTACAAAACCAAACATGCAAGGATCCTAGGGCCCAGCCACTTCACAATTGGGCATTTAGCGCAGAGAAATGAGAACCCACGTTCACACAAAATCTGTACACCAACATTCACAGCATCTTCCTTCACAACAACCAAAAACAGAAACAACCCAGAAGTCCTTCAACGGACGAATGAAGGACTGTGGTGCACCATACTATGAAATACTATGAAACAAAAAAAAAGAATCAACTGTTGATATACGGAAGAAATGAAATATTGATACATGTCCCTTGGATAAATCTCAAGGAAATGATACAGAGTGAAAGTCAAATACTGTGTGATTCCATTTATATAACATTCTTGAGATAAAATTATAGAAATTGAAAACAGATTTGTGTTGCCAAAGATTAGGATACAGAGAAGGTGGTGGATGTTACTACACAGGGGTAGAATGGGGGAACTTTGTGGTGGTGGAATAGTTCTTTATCTTGATTTCAGTGATGGCTACACAAACGTAGAGATGTGAGAAAATTCCTTAGAATTACACACACACACACACACACACACACACACACACACACACACACAGAGTGCTTGTAAAACTTGGGAAATCTAAACAAGCTCTATGAATTGTACCAATGTCAGTGTCCTGGGTCTGATACTCTACAAAAGCCATGCAGCTTCCATTAGGAAAACTGAGCACTAGGTGCCTGGGAACACTTTGCACATTCTCTTTTGGAACTTACTATGAATCTCTAATTATCTCAAAATAAACAGTTAAAAGAAAACAAAGGCAGTTAGACTGATGATACCAGCACAGTATTGCCTACATTTATTGTTGTGGTTCTTCAATTGTTCTTTCATTTGGGTCCTTAACCAATTTCACTGGGTCAGTAGCCCCGGTGTCATTAGACCTGTTTTAGAGATGAGAAAACAGGTTTGGAAATAGTGTTGGTTACATGTGTAAAATCGTCTGCGTGGTGATTTGAACCTAGGGTTTTGTTTTGTTTTGTTTTGCTTTTTTGGTACTGATTTTATTACTAATTCAATAGCTTCTGATAGTGATTTAGAAAGTAGGCTATAATTTCATAGGCTTGAAGCCAACGTTCTTTTTTTTTAATTTTTTTTTAAGATTTTATTTATTTGACAGAGAGAGATCACAAGTAGACGGAGAATCAGGCAGAGAGAGAGAGAGAGAGAGAGAGGGAACCAGGCTCCCTGCTGAGCAGAGAGCCCGACGCGGGACTCGATCCCAGGACCCTGAGATCATGACCTGAGCCGAAGGCAGTGGCTTAACCCACTGAGCCACCCAGGCGCCCGAAGCCAACGTTCTTAATAGTGTTTTCCCTGTGCGTTCAGCCCGAAGTGCCCCAACATGGGCCACTAATTTACGACAAAATGAATTAACACCTCCACCCACATAATCACACACCCATCTCCAGCAGAGTTTTTTTTCTCCATCAGGATTTTTGCTTCCTTTCATTTAGGACAACGAATGCAAGTGGGAGGCAGAGTATCCCCTGGGCCAATCACTCTTCCTAAGTGACAGACATGAGAGAGAAAACATTAAAGCCACACTGACAAGAGGTCAAATCCCTCTACCGATAGAGACTTATATGTATATGTCAGTGCATTCTTCAGTAATAAACATGGTCAGAGCTTAGACAAGAAAGTTTTTCCCACAAAATCATTTTTTTTAACCCTGAGATTAAAAGTCTCATTGTCTATGGACTAAGCCAGCCAGATGCCCCTCCAAAAAGCAATTTTTTGTATCATTCCAACATCAATGCACCTCTAAGAGCAGAGGCTTCTAACTGCTCACCTGTTCCAGACGTGTGATCCCTTGAGCAGCTGATCAAAGCACCTGTTTTAAGACGTTATATGCTAAAAGGAGAAAAATAAATGTCAAGGCCCCAAAAGGTAGCTACAAAGACAATAGACTTTTGTCCATTGTCCATTTTTATCCAAAAGGATTAAAAAAGAAGAAGAAAAAAAATCTTAGTAAAAAGGAATTGTGCTTCTGGTATCCAATACCTTAACATTAATGTATTCAGAAGAGAAAATTTGTCCTCCCACCACTTGTGAGTTAAGTTCAATAAGAAGGACAAATTTTGTTCTTATTTTTTTTAAGGCCCTCTGGAAAGAATTCTGTAGTAATTAGTTTAACACCTGAGATGCTGACAAATCTCTTCAGAAAAAGTTTCACTTGGAAGTTCATTGTGATTACATCTCCTACAGTTAGCAGGCAAATATTAATTGGCAATCCTCCCATACCTGCTGTAGGGTGTTCTAGATGAGGCAAAAAAGGAGTAT